AACTGTTAGAAAAAATCATACAAATTTACTCTTAGACATACTTTCTTTTTTTAAATGTTCACAAGTGTCAAAACAAGCTGTTACACCAATTGTTAATCATCGGTATGACAAGAGATCATTAGCGTATTTTCTTAGCACTTTCAATCTGCTTGAGACGATCGTTTGCGTATTTCAAGACTCCTTTTTCCAGGAACAAAACTAGACAGTGCAATTGTGCTAATGGTTAAACTGCTTGCATTAGGAAATGCATTATCATCTTGAATAATAATGAACCTGAAAGATCTACACATTATGAACCTAAAATTAAATAATATTTTTCTTCTTTAGAATGGACAAACATGAGTTTTTAACGTTAAAATAATATTTAAAAAGCATGCCATATGCACAGATGTGCTACATGTAAAATCATTTGCCATAAAAGTAGCAAAATGTAAACAAAGTATTGTTTTGACTTCCATACAAACTACTTTATCACTATAATTTTACTTATTGTCAAAGGTAACAGAAGCTTAATAAAGTTCAGGTAATAGGCCAATGAGTAACCTTTTAGGAAACGATAAGAGGTCACCATAAAAGTAGCCTTTAATATTTAAATAAAAAAGCATAACTGAGTAATAGTGTGTCTTTAAATAAGAAATATTACATATAAACTTTATTCAAAATAAAACAAATTGTTCTCAGTTTGAAAAATTTATGTATCAAATAACATGTAAGGTAAACAATTTCTGCAGACAAATGAATTAAACTACTATTGTTCATAACTACGTATATGTATGTGCTGTCAAATCCTCAACTCATCAACATTAGCCATTAAGGTTCGAACAGTTTGTGACATTGTTTAAAGGAACTCAAAACCACAGTTAAACCATAAAGAAATATCTTTCATAATATTGCATTAAGTTTTAAGATAGTTCAGTTGTACGTTACGATGTAAAAACAACAACAGCAACAACATTCGCATGTTCAAATGTCATTTCTATAATAAATTCGCACACCATTCTCAGAAAGACTTTTGACTGTTATGTACGTAAACTGAATGTAAACAATAAATTATCTCCAAACATATGGTAAATCACTGTAATGTTATACAATCTCTTAGGAAATGTATGAGAAATATTTCATTTGATTGCTGCTCTTCTGACAAGTTTCACATTATTTGTATTACCTCTGAATTGGCATTTTTTCACCATAATGCATGAATTTAGTTGAAGAAAGTATCCCAAATTTATCATTTTTAGTTAGTTTAGTTAGTTACACATTTTTGATTCTGGTTTGTGTTTTCTTAACAGCAAAATAGAAATGTATATAGAGAATAATAGGTTGGTGCCGTGGATGGAGAAAGTTTATCTGGCGAGGCGGAGGAATTTATTGGGTGAGCCGAAGGCGAACCCAATAAATTCCGGAGCAGAGCCAGATAAACTTTCTCCATCCACGGCACCAATCTATTATTCTATTTATCCTGTCACCGTTTTTTTTAAAGAATTTTATTTAATCACCCTATCGAAAATGTTTCTATATAAACAAAGAAGGTCCGAAGCGTGCATTATTCTACAACAATGCACTCGCCGTTCTTATTATCTCCTGTGTATTTTCACATTTAGGGCGCCATTTTGTTTGAAAAATGTCATAAATAAAAACAATTTTTTGCCGAAGTTTGTTGTGAAAACTATCTAGAATGAAAGAAAATGGTCTAACTAAGAAAATGAATTCGAACACCAATATCTTTTATTCAGTCGTTAACGCTGTACAGACGTTTAAAGTATTGTTTACGTGACGTCACAATGTAGCGCCAAACAGCACGTGCAAAACAATCAAATCAAATACGCTATTTTAATGTCGCAAACGAGTTAAGTTTCACATTTATTTCACTTTTAATAATTTTTATTTCGCTTGAAAAAGTATAGAGTGAAATAAAATAAACAAACAAAGTTTTATCAACGTTTCCAAAATTCGTAATTCTACACACAGAAGATTTAACGACGGTTTTTATATTTTTTCTTGAAAAGTAGTCCGACAAACATGCATACCACGTGATCAAGTGCCGTAGATCAGTAAAAATATACGGCACCTTGTTATCGGGTCGAAATTGATACAAGTGACAGGATAAATTTATTATTGCTTATTCAGATTATTTTGATACATGTACCAATGTTATATTTAAGTTATATAATCTGATAATACGAGATGACCATGTGACTACTTTCAATTCTCATTCACATGATTCTGTATCATACATGATTTTGACATTATCGAACCTAGTCTTCGATTTTTAATATTTGTTTTATTATATTCTATCTCAGAATTGTATCATAGTTTGGGGACCTTTCTGTTGAAAATGTGTCAGAGTTACATCGTATACATATACATGCACAGTGCATTAACTGGAGTGCAGGTATCAGTTACCCGCACTCCAGAGCATGCCCATTGATTGGCTCATCTTTGCAGGGGTTTACTTATTGTGACGACAGAGAAAGGGAAAGCGACAGAAACATCACATCCAGATGCTCGGTCATTGGTTACTTTTTCTGGGGTTTCATATTTGGCAACAGGGAACGTGTTTTTTTGTTTGACTGTGATACAAAAGAGAAAGAACATCAAAACACTCGGCAATCTTATTAATAATTGGGGGATACGCCCCCTCGCATAAATTAGATAGCCTCGTGTTTGGATGCTCTTTCTATTACTAAATATTACGTAAAACAAAATAGAATGAGTCATGTTTTCCATGCAAAGTACACTTTTATTGACATTTACAACACAATGCAATCTAAACATGAATGTAAAATGTTCGTAAGAATATGATATTTTAAATATTATAAACTCTCTGTCTCTCTTTCTCTCTCTTTCGGACTACATAAACTGTCATACGTAAAATAACTTACTTATAAACTTTACAACAAACAAAGCATTCAAATGCATACAAAATCATTAACAGAAACAATATTTGATATCTCAGTTGCAAGATAATATTTTTCAAATGCTGGTTGTAGTCTACAAGAAATATGCTAACCAAATAACACTTTCCGATATATTAAGTAAATTCCTGCACATAAAAAGCGGACTTATGTCTCAACCAGTCACTAATAGGTTTTCCTCAATCTGTTCATACCTGGAATAATGTAAATATATTGGCTTAGTGAAAATATAAGGAACTAAGGTATATAACTAACTGAACAAAAAAAAAATTATACCAAATTCATGTTAAGCATACCAACATGCATGTTGAAATGTACACACGTGTTTTATTATATTTTAACTGTCAAAAATTAAAACTTATTAGAAGTCTTTGTGTTAAATGCGACATTAAAATTTGAATAGTTGCATCTTTTGAAATCATATAACAAGTATTTGTACATTCAACTAATAATAACTTATGAGGTAAATGAATTTGGTTTTATCCAGGATTTCTACCTGTAGAGAATCGTAAACATTATTTAAACATATGTATGTATATCATAGACTTTAAAAGACAAAACGTACCTGAACTACCAATCCCCATAAATCCGCGAAATCCATTTCCTCTAGTGCTTCCTCCCCCGATTTCTACACCTCCAGTGTTACCGCCCGCTATGTTGCTACCAGCTAGGTTACTACCACCTTGTAAAATTAAGATCTCGTTAAATGTGTTTATTCAGTTTCTACATTCGTTATCATTGTAAAACAACTTAAATATATTTAATAAAAAAATCTTTTTGCAAAATGCAATTAACATAATCATTTCGAAAAGCTAGAACAAATAATTTTATAGAGAAATATTTTAATATACCTAAACTTCCAGCACCTCCCATTGTAATTTTACCGAATCCGGCCCCAATACCACCAAAGCCTCCATTGATTACACCCAAACCACCAGCCATACCGCCAAGACCGCCAAGTGCACCATTACCTCCTCCAAGTCCACTATTATCATCAAGTCCATTATTACCACCAAGTCTACCATTACCACCAAGTCCACCATTACCACCAATACCATCATTACTGCCAAATCCACCATTGCCACCAAGTCCACCATTACCGCCAATTGCACCATCATTTCCGCCAAGCCTGCTATCTCCGCTAAGTCATTCATACCATAAGTCAAAAACATTGGGCCCCCAATTTCGCGTTCCCCAAAGGCCCCCATGCCTTAGTAACTTTACCTCCAAGTCCCCCTTTAACCCCCAAAGCCGGTTTTACCGCAAATTGACTTATGTCCCCCTTTTCCGTCAATTCCCCCTTTAAAAGCCCACCCTTCTGCCCAATTCGCTTACGAACCCACCATTACCGCAAGCCCAATTACGCCAAGTCCCCCATTACCCCCGATTGCTCTATTTCCCCCAAACACCTTGTCAAACAAAACTTATAGAGGTTTAAAAATTGGGAAAATTGATAGATTTAAAATAATGCGTAATCACATATTAGTTTTAATTGAGGAAAAATAGTGAACACGAAAAAAAATTTAAAAAACTTACAAAATTTTTGTCATCTAAAAATCAAGTTTTGGAATGTTAATGAATTGGATAAACATTTCATCAAAATACTGCTATTAATTAATTGACATACTTCCATTCAATCCAGCATTATTCATGATTCCACCTCCAAGTCCTCTAAGGCTTCCATACCCAATTCTACCACCTAATTTGCTGCCTCCAATTAGGAAACCACCACCAAATCCTACATTTCCATTCAATGATCCACCGCCAATTCCTACATTTCCATTCAATGATCTACCACCAGTTCCACTATTTGCAGTCGAACCACCTCCAAATCCATTTAGAATGCCACCTACCATATTCCTTCCACTGCCTAAAGCATACATTTCATTGTTGAATATTCAATAAATTTTATTTCAATGAATATGTTTAATTAATTTGCACCAACGATTTATTTATAACTTAATTAATTGAAAATCAAATGGTGCATGCAACGTCTTATTATTTGTAACTCATTGATTATTTTATAGTAATTACTTCCAATCATACCTCCATCACTAGGGCCTCCGACCCCATTGAATGTTCCGCTTCCAGTTACGCCGCCTCCATTACTAGCACCACTCTCAGTCGTACCGCCTCCATTTTCAGCTCTTCCTCCAACCGTATTGCCACTATTTAAAGTACCTCCCCCAATCGTACCTCCTCCTAACATATTACCACCACTTATTCCAAACCCACCTCCATATATGTTACCTCCACCAAGAGAACTGCTGGATGCGAACATCAATCCCGCATTTCTGCTAGGCCCATAACCACCTGAAATAAAAATGTTCTTTGACATTACTAAAGATTATAGCTCATTTAAGTTAAGTTTGATGTGATTATTTTTTCGTTTTCGTTACCTTGCCACAGAGAGGTTTACTAGATTTTGCATTAATATCAATTATCATTAACGTATTCAAGATGATATTAACATTAATGGGATTCAGACATTATGTCCATATTCAAACATTTATTCATTAAAAGTTCGTGATAAGGTTTTATGTCCTGCGTCATTTTTTACTTTATGACTTACCAGTTAACCTACTGCTCCAACCACCGGTGTTACCTCCTCCTGAATTAGATAGGCAAGTTCTAATATTAGTTTAATTGTTATATCTATCAGTAACCAATCCTTAAAGTTTGTTACATATATAGAGGATATTGAATGAGTGTAAGTTCAATACTGAATTTATTGCACGAGTTGTATTATGCGAGCCTCTGGCGAGCATAATATTATTTTATTCAACGAGTGCAATAAATTCAGTAATGAACTTACACGAATTTAATATTCTATTTATCACATACCCAAAATAAAGACCGTTTAAAGTGAAATAAGAGTCATTTTTCATTGACGCGTCTATAGTATAACGCTAACATTTAGCGCGTCTTTACACTATGTTTGTTTAACGCTAATGACGTCACGTCAAATATATGCACGGCCGTGCAATACCATATTTACGGAATTGCAAAATCGGCACGGGTGTGTGATAAAAATTGATAAGGTAAAACTATATTTATTTTATTCTTAAGCCTCCTCTCTTCCTTTGCCTTTCGATACCTCCCAGTTTCATTTTTGGTTTCTTTTGTTTCAATTTTTTGTTCGGTGCCCTACTGGATGCCTCTCTGTATAACTGGATGTTGTCGGTATCTGCCTTCCATGAACATCGCCATCCCTGGTTGATCTTTGTATTCATATTTTAACCGTCATATTTGCATTCATCGGACAAATGTTATATTTAAATTTAAACAATTATAAATTACTATTCACGATACATTTGTCATATTTCCTTTTTTTCAATTGCTATTACTTATGTGTGTACCGATAAATATTATATTTGAAAATATTAAGATTAAATAAAACATGGACAAAGATTATAGATTTTTTATTTATAAATTTGAGACTAACCATAGCTATTTATTCCAGCGCCTAAGACATCAGATACCACCAGCAAAGTGCATATGGAGGCTAATGTGAACTTCATGCTGCAGTTAGTAGACAAGATACGTTTGAAAAAAACAACATATATGATAAATCGTTTATGGCAAACCATAACAAAATGAATAAACCGTGATTTCATTTTACAAAATTTTCAAGTGAGTATATTTTATATCATTGTGCTGCATATTCAGGTAATGAAATGTAATTAAAAAAAATGTAATGTAATCGAAAAGTGTAGTGTACCCGAGACTAGTAGGATTTTAATATAACTCTTAACTTGTTCTGACGTTCGAGCGTTAATTTTGAGTGCTTTATGGTACATGGAAATTAGATGCGCAAAAATACGTATGATAAAAATGCAGTAAGCCTTGGTGATTAATTTTCAAACAACTGAGCTTATATACCACAATGCAAGCTAAATCAATATCTAGGTCCTATAATAACTTATAATAATGCGACGTTTCCTTCAGTAGAGCAAAAGGAAAATTTAAACTATTCTTGAAAATTTTCTTTAACTTTGCATGTTGAAAGAGAAAAAGAGAGATATTTTCCTTTTAAAAATGATCTGAAAGGTAAAAATCATTTAAAAGGGCGGCTCAATTATCGTTTTTTTTTGTCTTTGTAAAAAATGGCCTTACTTTAGAAAACATATTTAAGTAATATCGAATCTTTATTCGTCTACCCTTTAAGATTCACATTTTCATATTTTCATCCAATACTTTAGAATGTTTTTTTTATAACAATATCACTAGAATATAAGTTTGCATATTCATTCATTTATACATTACCATATGAATAAAACTGCTGAACAATCATCAATATGCTTCTGTTTATAATGATATCATATTCAAACTTATAATGTAGAGCTCTAAATACACATTATTCCGATTTTATACCTATACAATATAAAAAAATGTTGTAACAGTGTTTTTTTTATTTTGAATCTAAAAGGATATGGACTACTTTAGCGAACGTTTTAAGTTTCATTATCATAAAAATAAATTGATTATTATAAAATAACAAAAAATTAAATAATATAAAAAAATTAACCCGAATAAATTATGTAAACTTTCTGTTTTTTATGGGAAAATTTTTCCATTTAAAAAA